TTTGAGGAGGCGGTTATCATTGTACTATATAGTACGATCTTCCCTTTTAAATATTGACATGATCAACACAAAAATGGTTGTTCAGGCAAAACAAAAAAAAATGTATCTAGATAAACAAGAATTTATGATGGAAGATAATGTGGACAATATGGTGATTGGAATGGGAGAAGAAGAAATGTCAGAAGAGGAAGAAGAAGAGGAGGAAGAAGAAGAAAGAAATTTTTTTTCAAAAACTGATTATGAAAAAGTAAAAACAGCTTTAATAAATGAAAAATTTGCTCCAGAAATTTTACCTATTGAGCCAGCTTTAGATAATTTATATGTTGAATTAAATAATCAAGTAAGAGTAAAGGAGGAGGATCAAATATCGCAGTTGGATATATCATTGGGTAAACGAAAAAATTATCCAACAGGTCCAAAAAATTTTATACAGTACCTTGGCAAAAGTTTTGGACACCCCGAATATCTCAATTACGCAAAAAAATTTATATCAACTTGTAGCTTATGTTCCGGTTAATTTAGTCACGTGAAAATTTTAATGGCAAAATTCCTGTCGAATTTTATTATACATCATTCAACAACTGTTTTTGGTTGTTTTTTTTTCTTAAAAAATGTTATCACCTAATAATAAACACATATTTGTTCTTTAACAAATATTTCATTAAACGATAGTTCAATTTTTATTAATAATCTCATTAAATTATTCATAAAATTCACTTGTTACATTTATTATTGCGCTAATGAAAGAATGTAATGTTATTAATGATTACATAAATGGAAAGAAATGAAAACACATAAAGCCTATTTCCGACAAACTTTTCTTTCGGGTGATGTTGTTGATCCAGCTTTAGATGGGCATGCGTTCTGAATCTATTTTCAGATTTTGCTTTAAATAAAATTATTAATATAGATATTTAATTTAATTAATCAAATATTCAATTATTTAGTTAGTTATTTTTAAGTATATATTTTTTTATTCATCTTTTTTGACTCAAGGGTACGGGTAACGAATTGATGTACTCTACGAATTCTTTTTTTATGAATTTTATGATTAAGCTCAAATTATCACGTGATCTTGTCATATACAAAGAATGGGATGCTGCTTGACATCATTAGTGTTAGTCGAAAAAAAATTATTGATATTAATATTTATTTCGTTATTACACGCTTATGTATTTTTGTTAGATGATTGATTATAAGTGAAGATTAATTGGTTAATGTGCCAAAATCTAGCTAAGCCTCGTTCGTGATTACTAAATTTTTTGTAAATTTGGCAAGTCTCGCGATTACAAGCCTTTTTTTACCTCTTTTTTTTTAGCAATATTTCCATAAAAATAGCAACAACGATAAAAATTAATATTAATGATAAAGGAGTAATTGAATTGATTATAGGATAAAAAAGGTAACAATTAACGATATTTTAACAGTTAACTTAAATCCAGGCAATCAAAGCCTCTATGAACCGTAGGAGAAAAGCCTCATTCTTTTCTGTTTGTATTTGAATAATATTAAAATGATTTAACAATGATCCCTTTTTTTATTTTTAAAAAATCAATCCTTACAATCAAATAAATCTTGCGTAAACCTACGTAGGGTCCAAAATTAACCAGCATTATGCGGAAATGTTACCAGAATTACCATATTGGTCAAAATTTTGAACCCTACATAGATTTAGATTTATTTAATATAAATATAATAATAAGTTAAATAAATTACTCCGTAAACTTGACGAGTCGGTCATGTCGGGATGGACCCCTGTGACCGACTTATCGAATTTCACGTGATTTTTAATTTTAAAATTTTTATTTATCTATCTTGCAAAATCAATCTTTTTATACATATTTCTGAACATAATAAAATTTAATAGGAATACAAATGTATTTCTTCACACTAGATAATCAATTATATAAGTGATGATATAAAAATGAGATAAATAAATACAGCCCTACGAAAAATAAAATACGGAATTAACATGTTTCTTATTATTATTATTATACGGTTTTGAAAAATTACCCCTTTTCAAATTTAGTGTGAAATACGGAATTGGTACGGAAACAGTACGGAATTTGCAACTGAAAAGTCGTACAGAATTATGTCATTATTTATTAACTGGTGGATCACGAATTGTGATCTTTGATTAGTTTTTTTTCATTCCTTCAAAAAAAATGTCACAAATAAATTCAACTCCAACAATATGTATACTGGGATGTGGAACTATGGGTCAAGCAATCTTATCAGGGGTTTTAAAGTCGTTATCAAATGACACTACTATTGTAGCAGCAAGTAGTAGTTCAACTATTACAACAACTTTTAATCCAAATAAATTCATTGCTTGTGTGTCAAATGAAGAATCAGCTAAAAAATTATCGAAATCACTTAATAATGAAAATGTTTCTGTTTTATCAGATAAAAATGTCAAAGGTGTAAGTGAAGCTGATGTTATAATAATGTGGTAATATTTATATAAAATTATAATAAACTATTATTATTATTATCATTATCATTATCATTATTATTATTATTATTATTATTATTATTATTATAAGTTTACAAATTCATCATTTAAAAAAATTTTTTTTTCTTTAAAATAATAAAGCACAAAACCTCAAATTGCAAAAAAAGTTTTAACCGAAAAAGGAATGTTTGGAGCATTAGAAAATAAATTATTGATTAGTATATTAGCTGGTGTTCCAATGATTCAAATAAAAGAATGGGTTCCTACTTCTACTAGAGTCATACGTGCTATGCCAAACACTCCTTGCATGGTTCATATTGTTTATTTATCTATTTATTTATTTATGCATGTTCATACGATTATTTACACATTATTTATGTAGATTCAAGAAGGTATGACAGTTCTCAGTTGCCTTTCAGATATAAAACCTAATGACAAAGATCTTGCTTTGTGGATATTTCAGACATTAGGTAGAGTCAGATTTCTAGATGAAAAACATTTAGATGCTGTCACTGGACTTTCTGGTAGTGGTCCTGCATTTGTTTGGTAAGTAGTTAGTTGGTTGTCTTTGAATAAATTGTATATTGTTAAATATAAAAATGTTTGAAATATTTGAATTGACTTTATTCTTAAAAAATATTTATTTATTTAGTGTTGTGCTTGAAGCTCTTGCTGATGGTGGAGTTATGATGGGTCTTCCAAGAGATGTGGCAGTGGAATTGGCTGCTCAAGGTACATTGTACATTTTAGTTTATTTTATGATGCATTTCAATTAATAAATTCATTAATTGAGAAATTTTAATTTTAATAAAGCACTTCAAGGAGCTGCACGTCTGGTACTTCAAACTCGTAAACATCCAGCTGCGGTTAAGGATGAAGTAACTACTCCTGCAGGATGCACAATAGCCGGACTGCTTACAATGGAAGATGGTAAAATTCGCTCAACAATAGCAAGAGCTGTTCAAGAAGCTACTGTTGTTGCTTCATCATTAGGAAAAGCACAAGAAAAAAAAATCTGAGTAATATTTTCTCAAGGAAATGTTATCATCTTTGTTATAGAATAAATTTATTATTTACGACACAAAGTTTTTAAATATTATAACCTGTTAATTGAACAAACATATGGTAACAAATTGAACAAAACATCATTTCAGGGTGTTTCCACTGTTCATCCATCATCCCAGTTATCTTGACATCATATGTAAAGTTTGATTATAATGATGCAGATAAATCACTAACTAAACTGGAAATCAAAGCAACAAAAAGTATACAAGGTAGTCTTTAGCTTATTCATTAACTACCAATTCCCAAATATTTATTCAAATTGTTCATTTATTGATGTTGTGCGTGAATTTGAAATCTGCATGAATTTTGAAATCTGCGAAATTCAAATTAGCCAATCAGAATTTTGTCAAAATTTAATTAATAAAATTCAAATTCACACAAATTTAAATTTGATTTGATTTTCACGCACAATATGTGACGTATTTGATGTTATTTAAAGCAGTGGTTGCTATTATACATGTAGCCCAAACTATTCTATTATGAATTTTGACATGCTGTAATGTCATAATGTCATAAATATATTTAACATCTCCATTTTCAAATTGTCCTAAGTTGTAATGTCATAATCATGTCAGAATAATGGACAGAAGATATTAGTCACATGTTCGCAATATGATTGGTCGGCACTCCGATAAAATTGTTCTATAAACAAGGAATTTGATTGCTGATTGTGAATGGGCAGTGTCACCGATCAGATGGATAAATTTTAGAAATTATTAAAATCCGTTGAAACAAATTACTATTGCCATTCACATTTCAACGGATTTTTATATGTTTTCATAATGTGACAATAGTAATAGTAATTAAAATCCGTTGAAACGCGAATTTAATATTAATATTAATATTATCCCTTAAATTTCGGATTTTTATCGATGACACGAAATTCAAATTTAAATGTAGCACAAAAAAATCAAAAAAAATCAACTATAGTGCAAGTCACCTAGTCCCACAACTTTCTGCGCCACAGTGGCTAATTTTGAGAAAAAATTTCCAATCAAAAATGCAATAAAAATTTTATGGTCACATGATTTTCAACACAAATTTATATGATTTATTAATTAGATAATATATAGTTAAATTTAAAATGAAATTTTGACATTAGCAATAGAAATAAAATGTATATATATACTTCCATAAAATATACTTTTGGTGCTAGGTGGGAGATAGCAGCATATTTTGCACATTCTTTGATCAATGCAATGATCTATTTATTAAATTAAAATAAATGAACTTAGCTGTTCTTTGTATTTTTTTAATAATAAAGATAATTAATTATCTTCTCATTCATCTGGAAAATTCATGTGACAAAATATCTGTAATATAAGATAAATTTTTCAAATTTTTATTTTGTTTCAATTTGTCTATTTTTGATATTAACTTTTTTGTGTGTAACTGGCCATTTTAGGGCCAAGAATAGTAAATTTGGTAAACTTTGTGCAACTTTAAAGCTCAAATCCTCCACAACAACATGACATATCAATGGAATGAAATCGTGATTTTGTAGAGGAAGGTCTTGGCTTCAAATACATGATTTATTTTTGGGATGTTGCATTTCTATTTTTGGAGAATTTGAAAATCTACATGACCAATAAAAAGTTGTGGGACTAAGTGACTTGCACTGTACAAAAAACATCAAAATTTATATGAAAACGAGCAAGAACCTAGGCTATCTAATGTTAAAATTTTATGTATTCTTATTATGTAGCATTTTGCATAAACTTTTGTCTGGGTAGTGTATTTTACAGTATCTAGGCTACAAGCTATGTATACTTATTATGTGTGTTTTTGCATAATTGATTCTCCAAAATTTTGCTGTAGCATATCATTTGATTAATAAAATCTATTTGAATCTACTAAAACAAATAAGCAAAGGATAAAGTATATAAATATGATTGATTTTGGACTGAGTGATGTATCAAAAAAAAAATTTTTTGCAGCATTAAACTTTATATACATTTAATGATGAATAAATTCTTTAAAATCAATGCTGTTTAAATTGACTATATACTACTTGTGTGATTGATTCAATCATTAAACCAAAGGAACAAAATTAATTATTTCGCAATAAAAGCTATTTGTTGATTTATTTATTTGTTGCTTTATTGATTTTAATATCAATGCATGGTTTCTATCCATAATGCAAATTCTATTTTATTCATTTTATCATTTTATTCAAGTTTATTCATTTTATGTGTTTTGTTTGTTTTATTCATTTTATTCACTTTATGTGTTTTATTCATTTTATTCAAATTTACTTGTTTTATTCATTTTATTTGTTTTATTTGTTTTATTCAAGTAAACCTTATTCAAATAGAAACCTAATTGCTACTCAAAATTATGATATTATTTTAGTACAAAGAGCTTTAGAAACATTTAACCCAATAACTTAATTACAATATAAAAGAGTTATTGGTTTATTAAACTAAGCCAATAATTAACTAAAAAATAGGATTATTTGATAAATATTGGCACTTTCAATATTTACTAGTGTGAGATAGTAAATCTTGGACCTATCAATTACCCGGCTAATATTGACCAATTAGAACGAACTTACTACGGAAG